CACTGGCTCCCTCTGCTCTCTCGCTCGCCTCTCACGGCTCCCTGAGCCTTTTCCGGAAATTTCCTCAGGTGCCTCCCTCTGTTCTCCCTCCCCAGCCCCAAATCTCTCTGTCCCTCTGGGGTCTTCGGGGAAGTTCTGCCGGACGCTGACGATGGGCTCTGGCCTCTCCCCAGAGGGCGTTGTGGTTCTAGAGGAGCCACAGGAGCCGGTGTGCCCGGCCTGCGTCCGCCCTCTTGGCCTGTCATTTGGGAGTGCACAGCGCACGCTGGCGGGCAGGGCGAGGGGTCGGGGAGGCCCCCTGTGGGTGCCTGAGCTGAGGCCCGCAGGAGGCATGGCATGGCTTGGGCAGAGCTGGGCTGGGAGGTCAGGCCAGAGAACCGGGGCACAGCTGTGGTGTGAGGGGAGGGCTCTTTGGACCAAGTGACTAGAGGTGAGACTAGACTTGGGGCCGGGAGTGAGCCTAAGACCTCTGATGCCAGGTTTTGCATCCTGGAGCGGGGCCTGCTTCCTACAATCGTTAATTACAGTACAGAGAGGCCTCGGGGTGGACATGGCGAGACCGGGGTGTACAGGTGTGCGCAGTTCTGACTGTTTTATTAATACTCGATGACACCTGTAGTGACATAGGGTGAAAAAACACATTTGTTAGCATAGACCAGTGATAGCGAACCTTTTGAGTTTGGCGTGTCAACATTTTGAAAAAGCCTAACTTAACTCTGGTGCCGTGTCACAAATAGAAATTTTTTGATATTTGCAACCATAGTAAAACAAAGACTTATATTTTTGATATTTATTTTATATACTTAAATGCTATTTAACAAAGAAAAATCAACCAAAAAATGAGTTCGCGTGTCACCTCTGACACGCGTGTCATAGGTTCGCCATCACTGGTCTAGCCCCTCTCCTCTTTCCCCCAAAGCCCTTCGGACTACTTGTCTCCTTTCCCAGGGCCTAATTCCTGCACCAACCCACTAGACCAGTGGTTCTCAACCTTCTGGCCCTTTAAATACAGTTCCTCATGTTATGACCCAACCATAAAATTGTTTTCGTTGCTACTTCATAACTGTAATGTTGCTACTGTTATGAATCGTAATGTAAATATCTGATATGCAGGATGGTCTTAGGTGACCACTGTGAAAGTCTTAGGCGACCTGTGAAAGGGTCTGGACCCCCAGGTTGAGAACCGCTGGCTTAGCTGATAACCTAGCACGTGGGTCAGGTCCAGGGTCCAGAGGGGTTGGCGCCGCCTCCCTGGGTGAAGCGTGACCAGAGA